GTGGAGTCTGGGGAGCCTCCCCTCCACCCTTCCCCCAGCCCCGGAACCCCAAGTGCCACTCCAGCCACGTCCCCTGCCTTCCCAGCCCGCGTGCCCAGCCCTGCCAGTGCCACTCCAAGCCAGCGCCAGTGGGTCTCCTCCGCCACCAGCGCCAAGAACTCCTTCGACATTAGGCCGGCCCCCAAACCAGACCTGGACACCATCCCCTTGGGGGACCTCCAGGCACGTGCCCTGGCCTCGCTCCGTGTAAATTCCCGCAACTCCTTCATGTTCATCCCCAAGTGGAAGGTTCCTGAGGCCCCTCCCGAAGGGAGGCAGTCTATGGAGCTGCCAAAGGGCGCAGCGAGCCCGGCCTCTGAGAGCCAGGAGCTTGGAGCCCAGCTGGCTCCCGGAGAGGATGGTGCATCTGCTCTGGGAAGGAGCCCCTTCGGGGTCGAAGTGCAGTCAGCTGTTGACGGTGGCTGCCCCCGACCAGCCACCGCCACTGCCCTCACAGACCCCGCAGATAAGTGGCAGAGGCCCTCCTCCGCACCCCTCTTTCTCCCAGCCCCTGCTGAGGCTGAGCCTGCTGAGCGCTTGGGGGTTCCCGGCTTGGCCAAGAATGTCCGGGAGCCTGGGTTGCCAGGACTGCCTGTCACCTTCATTGATGAAGTTGACTTGGAGGAAGAGGCCCCCCAAGAAGCCAAACCGCCCTGCTCAGGGGCTGGTGTACCTCCCCAGTACCACCTGCACCCTGCCCGGCCAGGGCACATCTCGGAGCTCCAGCACAGAGGCAGTAACACCTTCACAGTGGTGCCCAAGAGGAAGCCAGGAGCCCTGAAGGAGCTACACTACAGTCAGGCCAAAGGGGAGCCCCAACCACAGCAGGGTGAAGAAGAGGAGGCCAGTAGCCTCTTGGGGCACCAGAATGCCTTGACGATCACGTTGAAGAAGCGCTACCCTACTGTACACGAGATTGAGGTGATTGGTGGCTACCTGGCCCTGCAGAAGTCCTGTCTCCTCAAGGCTGGCTCCTCGAGAAAGAAGGTCAGTGCTGGGGGTTGGTGCCAGCAGTAGTGAGTGGAGTAGAAGGTGTGGGAGCCTTGTTCCCAGGGCACCTGGCTTGACAGCTGAGGGCTTCTGTGGGGACCAGAGAACTGGGCTGTGTGGCTGTGCCAGGACCAAGCCCTGTGGGAGCCGTGATGTCCTGGGGCCTGAGGGTGTTGACTCACTGTGTACCTGGGGCAGGGGCTGGAAGTGTGAGCCTCCTGCTGGTTTTTACGGGTCTGGCTGGAATTAGATGGGCAGGACAGAACCCCTGTGGGTCCAGCTGGAAGAAACAGTCTGGGCCTGTTGATTCTGCCATGGTCTGGCTTGTGCAGGTGGCTGGGGTTAGAGGGGCTTAGAGAAGAGATAGGTGACCGGTGGTATCAATGTGGCCAAACCCCTCCTTCAAGCTACCCCACCCTCAGGCAGCTCCCAGTTCCCCCCAAGGCACATGGGCCTGGAGTTGACAGCCCCTGGCCGTGTACAGGTGTGGATGGCACTTAGGTGTGTGCCAGCCCTGTTCAGGAGGAGACTTGGGCAGAGAAGAGAGACCCAGTGCCTCCCAGCTAGAGGCTCCAACCAGAAAGCAGGTGAACCACATACTTCCTGGCCAGCCCAGACCAGCAACCTGGAACCCTCCGGGCACAGGGAAACCATTCCTCAGATTCTTCCTCATTGTTTCTGGACTTGTGCTTGTCCCGGGGGCAAATTCCAAGGCCAGTTTTAAATGACTCGTCAGCTGCCGCAGAGGCAGGTGTGCCTTTCCTTGTTACTCCCCTGGCGCCTGTGGCAAACCTCTGAGCCCACTGGTGTCTGGGGTCCCAGCCACTTCTCTCCCCACCAACCAGCCTGTGTTTTGCAGGGAGACAGTGTAGTGATTGTGCCTTGCGCTCCCTGTAAGGACACCTGCTCTCCCCTCTGTTTTGGTTTTTGGTTTTTTTCTTCCTCTTGCTCCCTGCTCCATCCTCCCTGTACCATCACCCTGAACTTGGGCAGGGGCATTGGCCTCCTGTTGGCTCCATCTGCCTTGCTGGGCGTCCATGATGAGCTCCCCACGGCCCATCCCCTTCCTAGTCATCCCTCCACTCCCTCCTGCCCTCTTGTCTCCTTCTCCTTCCCTGTTTCCTGACCCTGACCTTGGCTGCCCCTCTCCATCGTTGCCCCAGAATCTGAAAGGGTGGCAGTGCTCCTTACATAGAGGAGGAGAGTGGGGCTTATGAGATCAGAGAGCTTATACGGAAGGAGCTGAGTTCCGGTCTCCAGAACCTTACCCCTACTCGGGCTCCCCCCACCCCCAGTAGGCTGACTTCTCCTGGGACTTGAGAGCTGCCACCAAGAGCCTGGTCATCCTGCCTCCTGCCGTGAACAAAGCTGTAGGGATCACTTATAGCTGGGTTGGAATGAAAACAGACAAGGTGGGGCTCAAGGATCAGCAGGAGCAGGAGTAGTGGGAGGTGAAGCTGAGATAGAGGAGCAGGCCCTGGCCTGGCAGCCTGCCCTGGTATCTGTGCCAGCCTGAGGGTTGGGGGTCCAGATGGAGGAAACCTGGCATGGCCATTCTGCAGGCTGTGATGTCTGGCCTATGTGTGCACCAGCTGCCCTACCCAGTGAGAGCTGTGCACCTGCTGAGCAGGGATGGGCCTGAGGCCACCAGCCTCTTGAGCACTGTACAAGGCAGGGCACCATTACTCTGCTCCTTCCTCTATGTCCTTCCTGCCTGCAGCCTTTGGGCTGTGAGTGCCCAGGATGGGGACCCAGGGTGGACCCTTGGCTGCTCCATCCAGTCTGTGGTTGGGTCACTTTCCTGCTTCTTCTTCCCCTATGGGAAATTGGGTGGGCTGGATGGATTGCTCACTTGGGTCCCCTGTGGCTGCTGTCCCCAGGGCAGTGGTGGGACGGGCTGGTGACTTACTCAGGGTTCAGGTGAGGGGCAGCTTAGCAGAGGGTATCGTATCCTTGCCTGGCCTTGGGGGGCTGTAGCCCTGCTCTGGGGGCTGCCTCCTATAGCCTGTGCTCCTAGAAGCCTGCCTGGCAGGGCACATTCACAGGTGGGTTCTATGTTGGCAGAGGAGCCAGGCGCCCTGTCCTACCTTCAGGCCAGGCTTTGGGCTGATTGCTGTAGGTTGCTGCAGCCCCGCTCCTACCCCATTCTTGACAGGTGGGGTGTTCTCCCTCCTCACACCCACTCCCATGGGACTGGGCGCTGTCAGCATCTCATCTTTGTGGCACGCCACCTGGCCTGGCTCCTTCCTGTCTATCTGCTTCTTCCCTCCCTACCTCCTAGTCCTCTGTCCCATGTCCCCAAGGCTCAGTTTTCAACACGGGCCTGCCACCCTCCTACAGTAGTTTCTACCCTAACTTCCGTTGCTCCTGCCTGCAGACCCGAGGACTACCACCTTCTGCCACCTTGCAGCCTGGCACATAGCCCCTCCCTACCTCTCTCCTCCAGGGTGCTGCCTAGTCCCCTCCCCACCCTTTCCACAGCCATCCCATGGTCTTTCTGGAGCTAGGCACCCCAGGAATGGTGTGGCCCCTGTTCCAGCCGGCACCTGGGGGAGCTAGCAGTTGTGGACGTCCCAGCTGGGCCAGTGTGGTCTTGTGTTCTGACCCTCATGGGAACTTTGAGAGGGGGATGGGAGGCAGCAGGCGGCGGGGCAGGCTGAGCCCTGAGCCCAGGGTGGACGCCATTCAGTAACCCAGGCTGGGCATGCACAGACAGGGTGCTGTGAGGGAGAACAAAAGGGCCCTGTGAAAGTCTAGGTTCTACCGCCACCTGCCCGCATGCTCTGTGATGGGCAAATTCCCCTGGAGGCTGGTGACTGGTCTGTACGGCACCGGCCCTTGGCCACATATACTCACCTATCCCATCGGGGTCTAGAGGCTGTGCCTCACCCCCAGCAGCATGAGTCACACAGTGTCCCATGACCCACTGACCTGGGCTCTGAGCAGGAGGAGACAAGGGTGGCAGGATGTGACTAGGCCCCAGGCAGCAGCTGGGGGCAGCCAGCCTGTGAGCACCACCCCCTCCCCCAGCCAGGCTGTGCCAGGCTCCATGCCCACATGTGCCCAGCTCCCTGGCCTCCTGCATGGAGCTGGTCATGTGGACTAATGAGGGTGCGCTAATCCGGCTGGGCCCTGGCAGCTGGTCCTTCCTGTGTGTTCTGTGGGGGATGGGCCAGGGTCAGCAGGGACAGCACCACATGTGCAGGGCTGACGGGGCTGCCTTCACATAGGGGCTGCCAGTTCCATGCCTCTCTGGATCCTCCTGGGTGTCTGTCCAGGAGAACCAGTGACACCAGCCCCAAGCCACCTTGTGGGGCTAGGTCCCCATGGGTTCTGGTGGCTGCTCTACCATCCTGGCTCTTGCTTTGCCAGGCCTCCCATGAGACCACAGCCTGAGGACTGGGCAGACATGCCAGGATCCAGGCAGGGCGAGGGACAGTGTGCCTTCTCACGTCGGACAGCCTCCTTCTGCCCTTTTGTGCAGAAAGCCCATGTACAGCAGCAAGAGCTGTGAACGTCCTGGGATGGGGACTGCAGGAGGTCAGGCACTGTGCAGCCCTCCCTGGTGTGGAGTGTGGTGGCCCTTTCTGTGGGCAAGGACAGGAGGCAGGAATATGTGCCTTTCATGCTAGTGTCCTGTGCCAGACTCCTTGCTGCCCTGTTCCACCTCAGCTGCCTGCCGTGGCCTTGTTCTCCTGCTGCACCTGGGCTGCCCTGCTTCTCTGCCTGGGGCCGCTCCTGCCTCAGCTCCTTCCAGGGGAGGCAGGGGAACTTGAGCTGGCTGCTGGTGTCCTGTGCCCAGGAGTTTAATATTTCGAGCCCCAGCAAGGTTGTTCCCATCTGCTGCAGGCGGGTGGCTGCTCATATTCATTACCGACCTGCCGCCAGGCCTGGGCTGAGCACGGCTGAGCAGACTGTAGTTCAGCTCCCAAGGGCAGCTAAGTCCCCAGCATGGCCTGGCCTGGAGCTCACCCCTCCAGCCCAGGTCTCAAGAGGGGATACTGACTGAGGGCACCCACAGCTCCCTGGCCCTGCCTGCCCATTGCCATTCTGGCTGGGCTCAGGCCGTAGGAAGGGAAGACTGCGTGGGATTACTCAGCCTGTGAAAGCAGTCATGGTGCTGCCTTCCCAGGCACTGGCCCCTTTTGTGGCCCTCAGCAGAGTGGTGGCTCCTGCTTGGCAGGAGAGGACATGAATTTGGCTTTAGGAGTTATGGTACCCTCTGCCGAGGGGAGGACGGGTGGTCCGGGGCTCAGGTGATCTCCTCCTGACTTGGGCCCCTGGAGAGCTGAAGGTCCCTTTCAGCACCCCTGTACCAAGCTGGGCAGGGCCTGTACCACATGTACCTCTCTCCTCAGATGAAGATCTCCTTCAATGACAAGAGCCTGCAGACTACTTTCGAGTACCCCTCAGAGAGCTCCCTGGTGCAGGAGGAGCAGGAGGAGCAGGAGGAGGAGGATTCTGAGGAGGAGGAAGAAGGCGAGGAGGGAGAGGAGGAGGAAGAGAAGGAAAGCCCCAGCGCTGAAAAGCCTTTCGCCCTCTTCCTGCCCCGGGCCACATTTGTGAGTAGTGTGGGACCTGAGATCCCCAGGCTGCTGGATAGCAACTCTGGTGAGTGCCCACCTGTTGGCATGGGCAGCTTGGGAGTGTGGAGTTGGGCTCCTCATCCGCTTGTCCACATGTATGTGTTCCTTGACCCACAGACCTGTCCAGCTATACTCCCAAGCATTCCATGGCCTTCAGCAAGTGGCAGGAACAGACGCTGGTGCAAGCCCCAAGTGAGGTGGAGCCCCCGCAAAAGGGGGTCATGGTGAGTCAGGCAGAGTGGGGCTGGACACCCGCAGCCCCAGGCCATCTGGCAGGGGTGGGGGTGGTGGCATCTGGACAAGACTCACTGGCTGCATTCTGTCTCTCTTCTCAGCTCACACCTGCCAGTCAGAATGACCTTTCAGACTTCTGCAGCGAACCAGCCCTTTATTTCTGATCTACAGCTGTGGTGCCCAGGAGCTCTGCCTGCATTCCGCACACCCTTCTTTCCTGTGGCTAGGATGTGCTGGCCTAGGAAGCAGCAGGTCTCCTGCTGTTGGGGCCAGATCTCTCTGGATCTCACTCCAGGTTAAGGGCTCAAGAATAGTGACAGGAGGTGCCTGTGGGGAGGGCCAGGTCCTGCTGGTGGCCCACCTGTGACCAGAGGCCCCAGGCTGCTCTCTGTCCTGCTGCCAAGGCTCTCCCAGCCCCTGCCTGCTGTGCCTAGCACTGTCAGGCATGTCAGGGACGAGGGGCTGCTGTTCTTCACTGGACTCCGAGCCCCCCACCCTCAGCTCACATTCCCACCCTTTCTGATAGGGGGCAGCTTTTGCCTCTGATGTTGGACTCAATAAACAGCACTGGATAAGGCCGCCTCCACCTCCTATTTAATTCTCAACCTGGCAATGGGATGAGGCCAGCGTGGGCGCCTATGCTGGGAAGCTATTAGTATCCTTGCACCTTGAGGTATAGGCTCTTGCTATCCCCATAGCCTGTTCCCTGCTTTGTATCCCCCACCAGTCTCAAATGGGCACGATGTGGGTGAGGATGGCCTGCTGTATGGAGTCTAGAACACCTGTGACCCAGGGCCCTGGATCCCAAGAGGAGAGGGAGTGTTGCTGCTGTTGGGTTTTAAGTGGCTTCCCTGAGGGGCCACTGCCTAAGTAGGACAGAGTGTGTGCTGCACAGGAGCAGGTGGGGGCCTTGGGAACCGTACCTCGTTTGGCTTGGAAGCAAACACAAGCCTGCAGCAAGGTTGTGGCAGCAGATGGCTCCTGAGCAGCCTGGCTGGAGTGCCCTCCCCCCAGGTATGGATACGCTCTCAGCTGCATGGGTAGCCACAATGCAGAGGTGGGGTGGTCTAAGGTCCAAAAGCAAAACTTCCTCAGGTGTCAAATATAAGTGTCTGTCTTATCCTGGAGAGTGGAATCCAGTAACAGAGACGCTGCCTGATGGCTCGGGAGGATGGGGGGGCTGTCTTGAGTGGCTCCCCAAGCAGGGGTGGGCCCAGCTTTCTCTGGACCCTCTAGCTCAATACCTGCTTTCCATCCAGTTGCTGGGCAGCTGGGCCTCAGTTACTGAGGCTAATAGGGCTCAGAGCAGGATGGCAATAGGCCACATCTCATGAATGGCTACAGGAAGGGGGACATGAGGCCCTGGAAGGTCTGGTTGTATCTCAGGCCGAGCAGAACTTGGCAGTAAGGAAGGGAACAGGGTGAAGGCCCTCAGTCCTTGCTGAGAGAGACCTAGGTCCAGAGGGGCTGGTGTGTGCACTCGGCAGTCACCTGCAGTCCCTGGGATAGGCTCTGTGCTAGGCACTCTGGTATGGCAGAGCCCCTTACAGGAGGGTGGGCTGTGTGTGGCATTCAGGGAAGAGGCCCAGAGGTCCTGCTGGGAAAGCTGAGAGCTGCTGCTACCTGTACCCTCAGCTCTGTGTCCGCAAGAACAGGGGCAATCACAGGGCACTGCAGTTCCCCCTCACCTCAGCAGGGCTTGTGCTCCGACTCTGTGGATGCCTGGCAATCCACACACCAGGCAGGCAGCAAGCTGGCACAGATCTTTGCAAACATACTTTTTATTGATACAGTCATAGGATGGGGCAGGCCCTGAGATTTGGAATCTGGGCTGAAGGAAGTACCTTCTCTTATTTGTTCGAATCTGGGTCCCCATTAGCTGAGAAGGGACAAAGTGAAGGGTTCCCACAGTGATGACAATAGCCTAGAACCAAGACCTCTCTGGCATCCAAAGTGGTACGGGGCCTTCAGAGGCTCCACATGGAGCTGGCCTAGAGCCCACTGTCCCATACCCCATGTGGGTAGAGCGAGAACTCCACCCATGGGTTGTGCCAAGGGCTCTTGTCACCCAAGGCCAGTGGCAACGCACCTGCTGCTCTGGGCATCCGGAATGTGAGAAGGCAGCTTCCACCATGAAGAACAAAGATGCTTCAAGACAGATGTTCGGGGGGCCTGAGTCGTCATAGGCACAGCAGAGACAGCCTGGCCCACCCAGCCTTGTCAGCTGTCCTTGCCTCCACTGCTCTTTCGGTCGGAAGCAGTAGCCTTGGTCAGATTCCCAGCCTCTCTCTTCAGGACACTAAGCAAAGTCTGCGAGCTCTCCAGGATCTGGGGCCACAGAAGCAAAAGGGTTGGCTCTGTTCCATCTGTTGGAAGGTCCCACCGCCCAAGCCTCATACTTGGGTGCCTGATCATGGGCGCTATGGCTGGGCCAAGAAGGGCAGGCACAGCCCTCTTCTCCCTCCTGCGCCTGCCCCACGCCCCGCCCTCCCCACCCGGCAGAGGAAGGCTGGACCAGCCCCGATCCACGCTTTGTGCTCTACCCAACGCTGCTCCTCGTACTGAGCAGCATGAACACAGCTGAGGACCCTGGACACGCAGGGCCCCACAGACAGCCCCAATGTCCCTCCCTGCGGCGGCCAGATCACGCCGCCCCAGCCCCAGATGCCAACGAGGTGCACGGACCAGCGGCTGGGAGCCCCACCTTGAGGTAGGCGGCCTCCGTCTCCGCGATGGTGCGGTCAAACTCGTTCCGAGAGGCGATCTTGCGCGCCAAGTTCTCGTTGACGCGGGCCAGCTTCTCTGTCAACTGCCTCACCTCGTTCTGCAGCCGCTGCTTCTCCTCCTCCTCCTGCTGTATCTGCTGGCACAGCTCCTCCCGCTTCTGACACAGCTCCTCGATGCCTAGGGCGGGCGGCGACAACGCAGTGGGCCCGAGGCTGAGTACAGTGCTGGGGGCTAGCGCCCGCCCCCTACCACGGCAGGGGCCAGACCTCCGCTCCCGCGGCCCTCCGCCCACTCTCCCCGCTCACACTTGACCAGCTCGTTGTTGTAGTTCTGCAGCGCCGCGCCCTGTTGGGTCATGGTGGGCGCCGCACCCAGCCCC